CCTCCTCCTCCTCCTCCTCCTCCTCCTCCTCCTCCCCCGCCCCCCAAGCGGGCAAAAAACGGACGCGGCCCTCTCCTCAGAGCTCTCTCGGGTGCCCTCGCGGGGCCGAGCTCTCCACGCCTCCCGACTGGGGTCCGGGCAGATGGCGTCGGAGGGTCGCGCCGCATCGCCGATGCGTCGGCGATGCGGCTCGAGGTGGGGTCCTGATTTTCTCTGGGCCGAAGGCGCCGATGCGTCGCCGACGTCGCCAGTGCATCGGCGATGAGCAGCGATGCATCGGCGAAGCGGCGCGATCCTCCGATGCCACCTGCTCGGGCCCCACTCGGGAGGCCTCTTGCGTCGCAGGAGGGCGGTGGCTTCACTTTCTACGCCTTCACTCCGCTGAGGCTGCGGGGGGACGGCGCCGACGTCCACCTGGCCGAACTGTCCTTCCAGAGGGCCGGCGAGCCCGTGAACATGACGGGCGCGGTCGCCCACAACTACCGCGGCGTCAGCCCGCCCGGGGAGGGCGCGAAGAACGCCATCGACGGCATGCTGTCCACCAGGCGTCGAAGAAGAGAACACCACATGAGGGCAAGGCATAGGAGCAAGACGTGCTGATGAGTGGGTCCTCTCGCTTCGCGGGGTGCAACGTCCGGAGCACGTGCAGTCGAGTCGTTCGTGGGGCCTCCCGCGAGTGTACTGGGGGCCTCTTGGATGCCTCTTGGGGGCCTCTTGGTCTCTCTTGGGGACCTCTTTGGGGCCCCTTGGGGCAAGGCGTAATGATAATGATTCTCTGGGCTTGCGCCACGTCCGCCGACCCTATCATAACATGATTTTGTTGCTTCAATGTGGGTCGAGTTCTGGAGGATGCCCTGCAGGGGGGGTTCATGTGAGAATGATGTCGGTGACTGTTTCGCTTGTCGCAGTGGTCTCAGGCCACACGTTTGGCAGAATGTGCTCTCATCGGGTAAGCACGCCACTGCCGCCAAGCGTTAGGCTGCGACGTGATGATCCTGATCTCGTGCGCTCGCCGGGCCTGGCGAGGTTTCGCAACGTTTCCGCCCGTGGCCGCCACCAGGCCGCCTCGAGCGCTGAGTGCTTTCGGCGAGGTTCCGCCACGCTGCTGCCTGTGGCCGCCTCGTGGCCGCCTCTGGCGCTGCGTGGGATTTGCTGAGGTTTCGCCACGTTGCCGCCCGCAGCCGCCTCGGCGCCGCCTCGTGCGCTGTGCGGGTCTCGCCACGTTGCCGCCCGTGGCCGCCTCGAGGCTGCCTCTTGAGCTGGGTGGGCCTGGCGAGGTTTCGCCACGCTGCAGCCCGTGGCCGCCTGGTGGCCGCCGCGTGCGCTGGGTGGGTTGGGCGAGGCTTCGCCGGGTTGCCGCCCGTTGCCACCTCGTAGCCGCCCCGGGCGTAGGCTGAATAGCTCACACCGCATATTGCACCACCTAGCTTGCACCTTGCAGCTCACGCTAACTGGTTCACCACATAGCTGACACAGCATAGGTCACACATCATAGCTCACGCCACGCAGAGTGCACCGCATAGCGTACTCCACCTAGCTCACGCCACGTATATTGCACTACATCTACTGCCTGCTCAGGTTGCACCACATCGCTTACACCACACAGCTTGCACCGCCTAGACTGCACCACTTAGATTGCACGACATAGCTTACACCACACATTGAACACCACATCTATCCCACAACGTATACATGTGTATGTATGTATGTGTGTATGTGTGTATGTATGTATGTATACATATAACGGCGCACCGGGTCCGGGGGCCCGGGGCCGGGACCCCGACCACAAATGTGGGCCCCGGGGGGGCCGGAGGCTCGTCGGACCGCCGGACGCCGTCCAAGATCGTTCGCAGGCGGCTTCGGAACGCGCTCCGATGGCTCCAGATTCCTTCAAGACGCCTGTCCATGACACCAAGAAGGTCCCAGAAGCCTCCAAGACGCTCCGAGAGGCAGCCCAAGAGAGGCCCAAGAAGCAAAAATCGTGCCATTCCTATGGGAAAACGTATATTTTTCGCATGTTCGCATCTTGGGCTTTCACCGCGTCCAAGACGGCCCAAGAGGCGCCCAAGACGGTCTACGAGGCCTCCAGGAGCGCTCCAAGGCTGCGCACGAGTGGACCAGGACGGCCCCAAGACGGCCGAAGAGAGCCCCAAGACGAGTTCGAGAGGGGTCCCAGACGGAGAAAGCCAACCTCGAATTCCGAGCTTCGGGCCCAAGAGGCTCCAGGAGGCGCCAAAATGCCGCCAAGAGGCGCCAAAAGGCTCCCAAAAGCACCCCAAGACGTTCCGAGAGGCACCCCAAGAGAGGTCCAAGAAACAAAAATCGTGCAATTCCTATGGGAAAACGTATATTTTTCGCATGTTCGCATCTTGGGCTTTCACCGCGTCCAAGACGGCCCAAGAGGCCTCCAAGACGGCCTAGGAGGCCTCCGGGAGCGCTCCAAGGCTGCGCACGAGTGGCTCAGGACGGCCCCAAGACGGCCCAAGAGAACCCCAAGACGACTTCGAGAAGGGTCCCAGGAGGAGAAAGCCACTCTCGAATTCCGAGCTTCCGGCCCAACACATCCCAGCAAAACGCCGCCCAGAGGCGCCAAAAGGCTTCCAAAATCAGCCCAAGACGTTCCGAGAGGCACCCCAAGAGAGGTCCAAGAAGCAAAAATGGTCCCATCCCTATGGGAAAACGTATACTTTTCGCATGGTCGCCTGTTGGGTTTTCACTGCGTCCAACACGTCCGAAGAGGCTCCCTAAACGGCCCCCAAGAGAGTTCCAAGACGGTTCACGAGGCGCCCAGGACGGCAAAATTGGATTCCAAAATGGCCTAAGAGAGCCCCAAGGCGTGCCCGAGAGGGGTCCCAGAGGGAGAAAGCTACTGTAGAATTCCGAGCTTTCGGCCCCAAGAGGCTCCAGGAGGCGCCAAGAGAGCTCCAAGAAGCCCCCACGAGAGACCCAGGACGCCCCAAGAGGCTCCAAAGGCGGCCCAAGAGAGCCCCAAGATGGGCCCGAGAGGGGTTCCACGCAAGTTGTTATTGTATCGTTCGGGAAAGGACGAGGATGAGGAGGAAGACGAGGAGGAGGAGGAGGAGGAGGAGGAGGAGGAAGAGGAGGAGGAGGAGGAGGAGGAGGAGGAGAGGGAGGAGAAGACAAGAGCTATGTGGTGCGCCCGGCCGTTCCTATCTGACGTCCTACCCCTCCCTCCCATCCTTTACCATGGCGCTGATTTTCTCTATCCGCGGACGCGTGTCGTAGCGGACCTGTGGCTCCGCGCGCGCGTGCGTAGTGGGTGGTGGTGCACGTGCGTGCGTGCGTGCGTGTGTGAGTGGTTGTCGTGGTGGTGGTGGTGGTGGTCTAGTGTGGTGGTGGTGGTGGTGATGGTGGTGGTGTGGTGCTGGTGGTGGGGTGGGGGGGGGGGGGGTGGGCTGGGTGCTGTTGTGGTACTGGTGTGGTGCTGGTGGTGGTGGTGGTGGTGGTGGTGGTGGTGGTGTGGTGGTGGCGGTGCGGCGCGGTGGTGGCGGGCGGATGGGCGCGCGAGAAAAAGGCCCGCGCTGGGGCGAGAACGCCATCCTGAACGACGGAGGCCAAACACCGATCCGAAAATGAGGCCCACGCTGCAGCGGGAGCACGATTCGGAACGATTCGGGAGCAGAAATGAGGCCGGCACCTCAACGAGAGCAGCATTTTGGGAAAAAATGACGCCGGCGCCTTAGCGAGAGTCGTTTCCCGGGATTTCCCGGGCATCTTGTGTGTATAAACAGTACGCGGAGGGTGCGCGGCCATCACCCGGACGCCATCAGGGGAAGAGGGAGAGTACATTCATATTGAGTAATTGTGGAGGGCAGGAGAAGGAGGAGGAGGAGGGATTCCTGGGTCTGTGATTCGACAGAACCTAAGCGCGCGCGAAGCGCGCGCGTGGTTCTAGTATGTATGTATGTATGTATGTATGTATGTATGTATGTATGTATGTATGTATGTATGTATGTATGTGTGTGTGTGTGTATGTGTGTATGTGTGTATGTGTGTATGTGTGTATGTGTGTATGTGTATGTATGTGTATGTATGTATGTATGTATGTATGCATGCATGCATGCATGCATGCATGCATGTATGTATGGATGGATGGATGGATGGAGGGATGGATGGATGGATGGATGGATGGATGTATGTATGTGTACACATTTATGTATGCACCCCGGGGTGCGGGAACCTGGTGTTTTCATCCGAATGAAACACGTGGTTTCCTCACTTCTCATCGCATCAATCCCAAACATCCAAATGAACACGCAGGTTGTCCGCACCCCTGACATCGCAAGCTTGTGGTGTTTTCATGTGGATGTTTGGGATTGCTGGGATGATCAGTGAGGAAGCTGCGTGTGTTCATTTCCATTTTTGGGATTTTCGGCATTCTGGGAAACTCAGCTCCTGGGAGGACTTCTGGGTTGGATTGTCGCTGAAGGGAGGAAAATCCTACACATACGAACGATCTACATGAAAACACATAGTTTCCTCACTTTTCACCCCAGAAATCCCAAACATTCCAATGAAACCACCGGGTTCCCGCACCCCTGACATCGAGAACCTGGTGTTTGCACAGGGATTGTGTTTGGTGAGATAGAGGGAGGAGAGAGAGAAAGAGAGAGAGAGAAAACAAAAAAGAGAGACAGAGACAGAGACAGAGAGGCAGATTCCAGATCCAGCTGATTAAAGTTATATTCCTACTGGAACACAATTGAAAGCTCATTGGGATGGAGTGGAACCCAGATTCAGCTAATTCCAATTCTATTCCCATTGGGATCTCATTCGAATCTTATTGGGCTTGAGCATATCTGGGTGATTCCAATTGCATTCCTATTGCGATCTAATTCGTTTCCAATTGGGATGGGGCAGATCCCAGTTCCAGGTCATTCAAATTTGTGAATATCATTGAAATCCAAGCGGAATGGAGCAGATCCCAGATCCAGCTGATTCTAATTTGATTCCGATTGAACTTCAATTTGAATGTTATTGGAATTGGGCACATCCCAGATCCAGCTGAGTCCACTTGGGGTCCCTATTCGAATCTACGACGAGTCGGATTAGAATTGAGCAGGCCACATATCCAGCTGATTTCAAATCTATTCCTCTGGACATCGAATTCGTATCTAATTGGAGTTGAGCAGATCCCAGATCCAGATGATTTCAAGTTGATTCCTATTGTATTCGAAATAGACTCCAATTGGAATGGAGCAGATCCCAGATACAGCTGTTTCACATTGGATTCTGATTGGAATCGAGCTCAAATCTATATCGAATTGGGCAGATCACAGACCCAGCTGATTCAAATTGGATTACAATTGGAATCTAGTTACACTCTGATTGGAACTGGGCAGATCCCATATCCATCTGATTCCAATTGGTTTCCTATTGGAACCCAATTTGAATTTAATTGGAATGTGGCACATCCCAGATCCAGCTGTATCCAATTAGATCCCCATTGAAATCATTTCAGAATCTAATTAGAATAGGACAGATCCCGAATCCAGCTGAGTCCAGTTAGATTCCTGCACGAGAAAACAGCGGATACATGACGAACAGGACAGATGGATGAGCATGTACGGATGACAAGAATACGGATGACCAGTACGAGTACGAATGAAGAGATCAAATACAAGAGCAACATGATGGGGTGGTGGGTGGGGGGCAGCTGTGCACAATTATGTATACAGGTATATACATTGATACATGTGTGTGTATATATATATATATATGTAGGTGTAGAAGTATTGCGCCATATAGCGTACACCTCACGGTTCACACCACTTAGATTAGACATCATACGCTACATAGCGTACACATCTTCAGTGCAGTGTCTCATTGTTTGGGGTCCACGCTCGCAAACAGGTATAACACGACATGTTTTTGCTTGGTCCCCCTGAGGTGGACAGACGCCCACAAGTCCGCCCTCATTGTGCAGTTCCCGAGGGGCACCGTCGTCCAGGCCTTCAGCTTCGTGACGCCGAGCGACCACAGCGAGCGCGACCCGGTGGCCTGGCAGGTGCAGGGCTCCACCAACGGCGTGGGCTGGGTCACCCTCCATCTGCAGTGCGCCGAGTACCCGACGCCCACCGAGAGGAGCCAGGGCAACGTTCGATTAGGTGTGTTATGCGTGATGGTCATCCTAAGCATGAGTCGTTGTCTTTCCTGGCTGTTAACGCGTATCACTGCTTACGAGTGGCCGTCAAGGCGCTACAATAGGCGCTCTAGACACCAAGAGGCGCCAATAGGCGCCAGCCGGCGCTGGTAGGGGCATGGATGGACACAGCTGGGCGCCACCAGGGCGGAACCCGCCCCAAACACATTGTTTCACACACCAGAGTGCGCACAAGCAAGGGAGGAGGTCACCACCCACCAAACCACCCCAACCCAACCCGAAGGCCCAAATTTATCTTCGATTTCCAGTGGGGGGGGGTCGGGGAACACTGAAAAATCACATGGAATCCGTACCCCCCCCAACCCGAAATTCGGGTCAAATTCGGGTCTGCGGGTTGGGTTGGGGGTGGTCTGGTAGGTAGTCAGGAGGGGCTGGGCTCCAGGGGGGGCCGATGCAGCCCCCGCTCGCCCCTCGACCGCCGATATATGCAGGGGGCCCGACGGGCCGCCCCCGCCCGGGAGCGTGGGGGGAAGATGTCGCGATCCGGGGGCCTGCCGCCGAGCCGCCGGCGACGCGCAGCGGAGGCGGGCCTGTGGAGGGCGGGAGGAGGCCGCGGGCGCCGGGCCCTACAATCGGGAGGGGGAAAAACACAGACACAACGAATCGTCGATCCCTAAGAAAATGTGGGAACATATGGGAAGTGGGGGGGGGAAGACCAAACACCCAAAAATATGGGAAAATATAGGACGTATTTGCTAATCGCTTCGCTCATTCCGCCGGCCCTGGAGCGCTATTTGGGGCCTCTTGGGGCCGTCTTGGGGGCTTCTTGGGGGCTTCTTGGGAGCGTCTTGGGGCTCCTTGGCGGCGTATTGGGCTCCCCTGGGGCCTCTTGGGGGGCTCTTGGGGGCCCCTTGGGGCGAGAGGGGGAGGTAGTCGTTGGCAGCCCCCCCCTCGGAGGCCACGATCCTCGTGGGGGGTGGCGAAAAATAGCCTCCCCCCCGGGGATCGCCCAGGGGTCAGCCGGGCATCGGCCGGGGTACTTTTCTCGCCCGGGGCCCCCCCCATGGGCCCGCCCCGCACGCGCGAACTATAGAAATACTGTTGAGTGGTTTCCGGAGATCTTAGCACGCCTCTGGCCCGTTGGGCCGGCGAATTTGTGTGTCCTGGGGCCCCGTCGGCCGCAGAGTCTTCAGGGCGAGGTGCCTGCAAGGGGGCAGGCTCCCTTCTACACGAACATCGAGCAGAACGGCCGCTGGGCGGACTGGTGCACGTGGTGCCGCCACAGCTTCTTCGCCTTCACCCTCGCAGGCACCTCGCAGGCACCTCGCCCGGCGAGCGCCGCGGCCGCGGCCCGGCGGCCGAGGCCGCGCGCGCCGCCCGAGCTCCGCTCGCCGCCCTCGGGGGGTGCGGGCGGCGGGGGCGGCGGCGGCCCTGCCGGGGGCCACGGCCACGGGCAGGGGCCGAGGCCGCGCTCGCCGGCAGGCGGTCGCTCTGGGGCGCCACGACCTCCGCCTCCTCCTCCTCCTCGCCTCCTCCTCCTCCTCTCCTCCCTCCTCCCTCCTCCTCCTTCCCTCCCTTCCCTCCCTCCTCCTCCTCCTCCTCCTCTCCTCCTCCTCGCCTCCTCCTCCCTCCCTCTCCTCCTCCTCCTCCTCCTCCTCCTCCTCCTCCTCCTCCTCCGTCTCCTCCCTCCTCCTCCTCCTCCTCCGTCCTCCTCCTCCTCCGTCCTCCTCCTCCTCCTCCTCCTCCTCCTCCTCCCTCCTCCCTCCTCGAGGGCGGGAGGCGCCACCTGGCCGAGGCCGCGCTTGCCTTCAGGTGGTCGTTCTGGGGCGCCACGTGGGTGGGAGCCGGCTGGGGGTCTGAGGTGGCCCAGCACTGGCTCTGGCCAGCAGGAAGGGCGGGCAGGGTTCGAGGCGTTGGGTTCGGGAGTTTTTTGGGGGGGGTTCTCCCTTTTTCGGTCTCTGGGGGCCGTTTTCGGGATCGGGGACCGTCGAAACCGGATCCATGGCGAAAAGCTGCGCCAGCTGGACCCCGGGAGGAGTCTGGGGACCGATTTGGAATGGACTTGGCTTCGTCTTCCTTCTGACCGATTCCCAGGCCCGAACCCGTTCAGACCCCCCGGCTACGGTCAACGCGCTTAGTAAGGACGCGCGCCTTCATCTAGGGTGCCCTCGTGTCCTTGCCTCTGCTTCCCGTCCTCTGCCGTCTTCACTGGTCGCCCGCCTCCCCGAACCTCCCGGCTTCCGCCTCCGAGGCTCCTGCGTCCTTGCCACCCGTCCTCGAACACGCGTCTCTTGGTTGCACCTCCACGCTGTGGGATGCCACGGTCCGCGGCGGCATCCCTGGCGTAGCGTCCCCCTCGCCGCGCCCCAAGACGTCTGCGTGCGGCCAGGAGGGGGGCTCGCACGGCGAGGAGGACGCCACGGAAGGCGTTTTTTTCTTCTTTTGTTTTCCTTTTTTTTTTTTTTTTTTTTTTTTTTTTTTTTTTTTTCTCCTCGGGGTCGTATCGGGTGCGCCCGACCTTCGGGGGCTCACCAGCTCCTGGACGTCGAGGCTCCAGGGCCGAAGCTGCTGCCCGAGCATTTTCTCTGGGTGGAGGGCACAGGGTGGCATCCGAAATGCCGTCTCGCTTAGTCTTCGAGGCTTGGATCGCAAAAGGGCGAATGCCAAGACGGAGTGATTTTCGAGGTGCAGGGGCCCACATGGTTTTCACCCTGCGCCCTCCACCCTACGGTGGAGGCGTTTGTTCGGGAATCGTCCCAGGAGGCGCCAGACCCTGGAGGATTCCTTATCCAAGGAGGGCGGCGGTGACATCCGTGGCCGATCCACGATGGGAGTTCCACTGGCTTCCAGGGTCGGACTCCGTATCTAAGGCTTCCTTACTCAATGCCCTCCACCCTGAGATCATGCTCAGGCTGCAGGCTCTCCTCCTCCTCCCTCTCCCTCTCCTCCTCCTCCTCCTCCTCCTCCTCCTCCTCCTCCTCCTCCTCCTCCCTCGCCTCCTCCTCCTCCTCTTCTCCCTCTCCCTCCTCCTCCCCCCTCCTCCTCCTCCTCCTCCTCCCTCCTCCTCCCTCCGTCCTCCTCCTCCTCCTCCTCCTCCTCCTCCCTCCTCCTCGGGGGCGTGCGCTCCCGGAGGGCCCCGTGGAGTGTGCCCTTCTCAGCGGGCGCCACCGCCTCGGGGGAGGCGTGGGCGCGCTGCCTCGGGGACTCGGCGGCGACCCCCTTCGGTGTGGTAAGCCGGGCATGCCCCTCCCTACAGGAGAGTATGCAGAAGTAGTCGACAAGTAGCCTGGGGACGATTTTCGGTGATGTTTTTTCCCAATCGTCCTGTGGTGTTGGGTCCTCGTTTCGAAGAGACGATCCCCGCGTTCCGCTCCTCTCCTCTCCTCTCCTCTCCTCCTCCCCCTCCTCCCTCCTCCATCACAATCATCATGTCGGGCATGTCCCCCCCACAGGAGGAGGATGCAGAAGTAGTCAACAAGTAGAATGGGGACGATTTTCGATGATGTTCTTTTTTGTTGTGTTGCTTTGCAGTCGTTGGCTCTTTTTTTGGGGGGGGGGCTATTTTTTAATCCTTCGACCGACATCCGCCTGTAGGAGGACATGCCCGACCGAGCCCTGGTGGTGACCTCCCCTCGGCACTGCCCCAGGAACATGCGCACCGAGTGGTTCCAGTTCGTGCCGCAGGGCCAGGCGAGCTGCGCAGCCGCCTACGCCGCCACGACCACGACCACCACGACCACCTGGACGTCCGGGGGGCAAGAGGCACCGACACTTCTACTCGGGGGGTCTATGCGTGGCCGAGGCTTGCCCTTGGCCAGAAAAGCCCGGGCCAGAAACAAAAACCTTTCGTTCCTTGCTCCCTCCGCGTTCCTTGTGGCAGCACGATTACCATGGTGATTGGGCAGATGTCGCCACCAGGCGGGACGCGAGCGAGACCCCAGGCAGCCACTGGACTCGGCCAGTTTTTGGCCCTGGGGGTGCGTTAATCAGAGGAAAACGAGGTATCGATACCGCCCGCTGCCCTTCCCCAGTCATTTCGCCTGTTTGGGCCTCCTGGGAGTCCCTCGTCGCCTCGGCTGGATTCGCCTCGGAGATCTGGTCCCAGCGCAACCCGGGAGTATTAGTGGTGTCGGTACTTATTGGTTACCCCAGGACAATTCACGAGATCGAGAAGCTCGGCTGGATTCGCCTCGGAAATCTGGTCACAGCGCAACCCGGGAGTATTAGTGGTGTCCGTACCTTTTGATTACCCCAGGACAATTCACGAGATCGAGAAGACGGTGACCGTGGACTTCGACGGCGTCAACCAGACGATCCACCAGGTGGTCGACGACATCGGGGTGCTGCTGCGCATGCTCGTGGTCAGGATGAGGCCGATCCTGAGGCAGCTGGAGAAATGGCTGAAGGCCCTCTCTGAACAGGCCCAGCCGCAGCTGGAGGCCTTCGGCGTGACCATGGAGCGCGTCCAGTCGCTGTTCGACACGCTCACCCAGAACATCAAGCATAACGTTGTGTCGAGCGATGACCTTGTTGCAGTGACCTTCAGCCTCTTCGACGTCTCGAACACGGGGCGGATCACCCTCGCAGACATGCAGAGCGTCTCGACGATCTACGGCATCGCCGCGCTGGGGGGCTCGGCGGCGAAGAGCCTCTTCTCCAGGTACTCCGCATAATGCGTCTGTGCACCGGGCGGAGGAGGAGGAGGAGGAGGAGGAGGAGGAGGAGGAGGAGGAGGAGGAGGAGGAGGAGGAGGAGGAGGAGGTGGGAGGAGGAGGAGGTGGGAGGGTCGGCGGGATGCTGTGGGCAAGGCTGCGGCGGCCCCGCAGCCGCCCAGGGTGGGTGGGGGCCGTCGGCCGGGGGCCGTGGGGAGCTCCCTGGGCCCGTCGGGCGTGGCCCCTGGAGGCCTCCGCTGCCCGCCCGGCGTGGGCGCTCAGTGGCTCTGGGCGCGTCCGGCGTGGGCGCTTAGTGGCTCTGGGGCGCACCCATCAGCGTCTGCATCTCGAGGAAGCAAGAGCGTTGTGGAAAACGGTCATACGGAGAGGAGGCATGCTTAGGTGTTTTTCATCATGTTTGGATGCCTTCTGACGTGCTAACGCATTTTTTGAATCTCACAGCTCGAACATGTGTTAAAGCGTGCTCTCTCCCTCTGGCATCGCGTCCTCGCCCGCCCTGAACTTCTGGATCCTGCCCTGGGGCCCTCTTGGCGAGCCCCCCCCCGCGCTCCCCCGCGCGCGCAGGAGGCTGCACGCGCGCCTGGAGCCTGGAGGCGGCCAGGGGGGTCCGGGCTGGAGAAGCCCGGAGAAAATCGGTGCAGGGGAGGGGGCAACTTAGCTCAGAATCAGTCTCCAGATCACAAGGCGAACCCCCCCCCCCACCCCCAGTCCCGACGCCCATCCCCGAGCCGGCGATTCCAGGGGTCAGGACTGGGGGTGGGGGTGGGTTTTCTCCATTCCTAGACCCCGAGAGCCCGCCCCCACCCCCAGGCCCGACCCCTTGAGTCGCGGGTTCGGGGATGGGGGTCGGGACTGGGGTTGGGGGGGGGGGGGGGGGCCTTTCGCCTTCCCGTCCAGACCCCTCCCGGGGTCGAAACTGACGATTTTCTCGAGCCGCGCCCAGCTGGCGATGATCAGGAGGGGAAAAACGCACAGACACAATTAATCGTCGATCCCTAGGAAAATATAGGAAAATATGGGAAGTGGGGGGAAAGACAGAAACCCAGGAAATATAGGAAAATATGGGGAGTCCTTTTATTTGTGTGTATTTATTTGTGTGTCCTGGGGCCCCTTCAGACGAGTGGGCCGCTCTCTCCCCTCTGCTGGCCGGAGCCAGTGCTCGGCCTGCTCGGCGCTCCCCCGGCGGCGCCAGCGTGGAGCGGGGACCTGCGCCGGCGCTGCGGGCCAAGGACGCGCACCCACGGCAGCCCGACTTCTCCCCGCGGCCCTCCACGCGTCGGGGGCGGCAAAGAGGGGGGTGATGACTAGGGGCTGCCCTCTCCCCAGGGGGGGGGGCGAGAGGGCGCGGAGCTCGCCCCGCACTGCGCTCCGCGCAGCTGGCAGGGCACGGCTCCGGCCCTTGCGCTGACGTTTTTGCCGGATGCCAGCGTCGCGTTCTGCTGTTCCAACCTTCGGGGGCGGAAAAGAGGGGGGTGATGACTGGGGGGGGTGGATATCACGGCGGGGCCATGATATTTCCCCAGATTTCGTGGCGCCCCTTCTTATTTCATGACGTCCCTGGCCCCCCCGCTGGGCCGCGCACGTGCCGCCGGTCATGATTTGCACCCTCCCCTCTTGGACACCCCCCTCTTGGCCGCTCCCGAACGCTATACTGTGCGGCTTTGGCACGAGGCACGGAGCAGCCTTCGTGGTGCGCGGATCTTTGCAGACCGTGCCAGGGGCTCCCCGCTGGCCCTGCAGGCATGGCGGCGGTGGTGGCTGTGGTGTGGGCACGCCTTCTCCTGACATCTGCCGATTTTTTCTTGTCTTTCCAATCCACGGCCCAGGCAGAGGTGCCGACCTCTTCCCTGGGGCCCCGGCTCCATTTTCGACGGTCCAGGGCCCGAACGACGGGCCCTTGGGGCCGACAAACCGCGAAGAGAAGAGAGAAGGGGTCGGGAGTGAGCAAAAGTCAGGTGGCTGGAGTTCTCGGGTAGTGGTGGTGTGTAGACGTTCTGTGATAGTTTTTTGCTTAGTGTCTCGCCGATCGGCGCGGGCCCTCGCATCCCCCCCTCCCCCCCACGTGGAGTAGATCTTGGCTGTTCTTGGCGCCTGTTTCGAGCAGGTGGAGCCTCCCTCCACTGGGCGCACTGTCGCAAAGAGCAGGCTTAGGCAGAGGCCCAGAGCCAGACAGCCCCCCTCCCCCCCTCTCCGCCGAAGGTCGAAACGCCGCATAACAAGAACGCTCACTTCCTGCTCTGGGCCTCCCAGGTGGGATCCGAGCAGATGTTCTCGGAGGATCCCGCCCGGTCGGCGCTGCATCGGCGCTGCGGCCCGACGTGGAGCCCGGTTCTCTCCACGCCGACGTCGCCGATGCATCGGCGATGCGGCGCAGTCCTCCGCCCCCACCTGCTCGGACCCCAGCTGGGAGGCCTCCATCTGTGCAGGTACGACGCGGACGGGAGCGGGGAGCTCTCGGAGCAGGACTTCGCCACGAAACAATCTACACACAGGCACCCTGCAGTAGAGTGTTCCTGGGTCTCATGGGGAGGATGGCGGCGTACCAGTCATCACTATAAGAGCCAGCGGCTTTATACACAGCCAGCCTCCCTTGAAGGCACAGGGACAATTCGTCGGCGGGTGATTGTCTGTCTGTCTGTCTGTCTGTCTGCCTGTATGCATGTATGTATGTATGCATGCACGTACGTGTATGTATATATATATATGCATGTTTGCATGCATGCATGCATGTATGTATGTAGGCATGTATGTATGCAAGCGTGTAGGCATGCATGCGTGCATGCATGTGTGTATGCATGTATGTGTATGTGTATGTGTATGCATATGTGTATGTGTATGTGTATGTCTGCCTGCCTGCCTGCCTGCCTGCCTGCCTGTCTGTCTGTCTGTCTGTCTGTCTGTCTGTCTGTCTGTCTATCTCTCTGTCTGCATGTCTGTCTGTCAGTCTGTATCTCTGTATGTATGTAGGTCTGTGTTCATATATAGTGGCCCACGGTTCATCCTGCCACCGTGCCTGGGTTGTGGGTCAGAGGCCTGTTCGATGCAAATGAGGGTTTCTTGGGATGCTTTTCGGAAGTTTCTTGGAGGCATCTTTGGTGTTTTGCAGGGCTATTCCTGAGGTGTCGCATGGTGGTCATTTGCATATGCATGTGTCTACTTCTATGTATATGTTTATGTATATGCAGATGCAATTGTACATGTATTATGTATATGCACATGCATACGCATGTGTACAGGTACACATACATGTAAATGTATAGGTGTATGTCTATGTATATGTATGTGTGTGAGTGTATACACAGGTGCTGTAATCCATAATAGATTGTGCATGGCCTCCATGCTTTCTGTGACCCACTTCGTCCCCAGCGTGTCCCACCCGCAGCCCGACCAGCGCCTTCTCCGGCTTCGACCCGCTTGCGTCCGCCGACTAACAAACAGTCTGTGCGTATATCCCAGACCCCAGACGTCATGATTTTTCCATGACTTCAGCCCCAAGAACCTAGACCCATTCCCGGGCACCAGTTTTTCATCCTGAGTCGTTTTCTGACCGTCCCGCGGCCGGGTAAGGGCCCTCGGAGGCCGAACGTAGCGGACAACTTCCCGCCGCGACTCGTTCACGACTCGAGGGGGTCTGGGATTTCCGTGGCGTGAGGAGTTCGCCTTGCTCGTCCACGACCCCAAGCTCCCAGGCGTGGCGCAGGCGCGCGGGGCGCGGGCGACGGCCGCCCCCCCCCCCCCGCGGGAGCTGCCGCGGAGGGCCCGCCTTGGGCGCGCTCCGAAGGCCCCGGTCCTGGCGCCCAGGGCCCTCGCCCGGCCCAGATCTCCGACAGCCTGTTTCCCTGATGGTTCCGGGCCTCCCAGGTGGGTTTGTCCTCCTCCTCTCCTCCTCCTCCTCCTCCTCCTCCTCCTTCTCCTCCTCCTCCTCCTCCTCCTCCTCCTCCAGACGTGGGTCCTCCAGGAGGAGGAGGAGGAGGAGGAGGAGGAGGAGGAGGAGGAGGAGGAGGGGGAGGAGGAGGAGGAGGAGGAGTGGGTCCTCAAGACGTGTGCTAGCCCAATGTGTGTGTGTGTGTGTGTGTGTGTTTATCCCGTTCAGTCCAACCAGTAGATCGTTACGCCGCCTTCGTCGTATCGTAGGGCCTCGATGGGCAAACGCACGTCGGTGCCAACGTGCGTTCTGAGGATCATCGGGTGGGGTCCGAGCAGATGGGGTCGGAGGATCGCGGCGCATCGCCGATGCGGCTCGATGCGGAGCCCGATCGGCTTCACGCCCACGTCGCCGATGCCCACGCCGACGATGCACTGCCGGTGCATCACCGATGCATTGCCGATGCATCGCCGATGCATTGGCGATGCGGCGCGATCCCCCGACCCCATCTACTTCGACCCCATCTAGGGGGCCTCTAGATTTGGAGTCGGCTGGGAGTCTGAGGTGGCCCAGCATGTTATACGGCGAGCAGGAGAGGGTTGGCGAGGTTCGAGATTCTGGGTTCGAGTCGGCTTTTTGGCCTTTTTGAGCTCTGGGGGCCGTTTTCGGGCCCCGTGACGGGCAAAAACAGATCCAGGGGCACACGCTGCACCAAGATCGATTTTGCCCGGATTTGCCCTCATCCCCCCCTCCCGACAGAAGTTCTTCGGGTCCTATAGACCAGTTCAGATCCCCCCAGCCGCCCCCAATCCCTAGCAGGAAGCCGCATACACCTCTCTCCGCCGGCGGCCAGACAGAGGCGGTCCGCTCCAGCGTGTGGCAACTCGGGGCAACCGAATGGCGCACTGGCCGGCGTGCAGGCGAGGGACAACGACGAGGAAGCCGGATACTCCTGGTGTGGCCGGCCTGGGCGTGAGCCGGATGCACACGCGGCCGGATGTCCTTCCCGCGCTCGGCCCTGCCGTGAAGAAGTGCAGGCCCGGCTGCCGCGCGCGTATCCAGCGCGTGGCCTCCGGGCGTCCCGCAGGAGCGGCGCAGGAGAGCGGCGCAGGGCAGCGGGGCCGTCTTCGCCGACGTCGGCGCGCAGGCTGCCCGTGCAGCGTGCAGCGTCCACTGAGCCAGGGCAGCGTAGCCCAGTGGACAGGGGCTGGCAGCTGCACTTCGAAGCACAGTCAAGACGCCGAGGCGGTGACCACTTGGTGATGCGTCTGTTTTCCACTACCACCACCATAAGCCATAAATTGGAGGGTGGAAGGAGGAGGAGGACGAAATGGAGGAGGAGGAGGAGGAGGAGGAGGAGGAGGAGGAGGAGGAGGAGGAATCGGAATCGGCCCCATCGCGATGCGAAGTTCAAAGCACCTACCTCCCCTGAGATTCACGTGGAAGAAGGCGAGCAGGTAGACGGACGACACGACCCAGAAGCGGGAGTCACAGAACGGGAAGTACGTGGAACGACACCAAAACCGATACCACGAGCGAGTCCCTCACGCCAGCACCAGGAAAACCAGGATAGCTGAGATTTCACTCCATCCCAAGACCACGCTCAGGTCGCACACTCAACCGGTTCAATTGAGAAGGAAATGGCGGCTCAGCCGAAACGGAGTCTGCTCGATACGGCCCACTACAATGGAAAGCACAGAAGAACAAGTACATCCCACTGGTCATCGGGCAACCTCGAACTCCCAACGCGCAGAATTGCGACGAAAGGCACCACACTGAGATCGCATCCACCGCAGACGGCCTCGCAACCAGACCACTCGCAGGAGCAATAATAAAATTCCCAGACCAGTATAAAGGAGGGCGCCTTGCTTGCCACGTGGGCCTGGGCCAGGCTCAGCCAATACACCAGAAAAGGATAAGCACGAAACTGAATTCCCCCAGCCTTAGCCAACCCTTCGAACACTGCATACCAGCGAAGCCGATGGAATACGCAGGATCCTCCCAGTTGCCGCAAGCACGCCACGGCGAGGCGCTGAGGACAGCTACATGGCGAGTTGGAGCCAAAACAGGCCAAACCGACACGCAGTCGCTTGTGCTTGAGCCAAAATGGCTTGAGCCAAAGTGGCTACGGAGGAGGAGGAGGAGGAGGAGGAGGAGGAGGAGGAGGGGGAGGAGGAGGAGGAGGAGGAGGAGGAGGAGGAGGAGGACACCCTCCCCCTCCAACTTCTGGTGGTGGTGGTGGTGGAACAAAAAGCCCATCATCTGGGGGCGCAGGAGGGGCGCCGGCCTGCGGGCCGTCCCCGGGGTCCAGAGGTCGGGTGAGCCTCGCCGTGGCCGAGGCGCGCCGCGGTTGGAGAGAGGCCCGTCTGGCCCTGCGGCAGCGCGGGGGGTGTTCTACAGTCGGGGCCCTGAAGAAGGATCCCTTTTCGTTGGGGAGGGGCTCCGCGTTCCTGAAGTGTTGCACAGCTTGCCTCAGGTTTTCCTTCTGCTTTCGATGGGAAGTCGAAGCTCAACTGATGGGAAAAGCGGGGCCTCGTTCCTCATTTAGGGTTCCTTGGGTCAACGCCCCGACTGGGTGGACAGACCTGCTACCCTGACACGTCGATTAACGAATTGGCCGTTTTCGGTTCGCGAGAGGGCGCGTCGCGGCCGTCATTGTTGCGGGTCCAGGTCCGTCGGTTTCGGCCCCAGGCCGTTTTCACTAAGGGGACGTCTACTAAAGGGAGGTTTGTCCACCGCCAGTATATGTCACCCGCAGGGGCTCTCTTCGCGGCTCGGGTTGGAGAGGTGGTGCTCTCCAACCCGAGCCGCGAAGAGAGCCCCTGCTTCCTCTTCTCACGCGCCTTGTGGCAGCACGGTGGGTGTTCTACAGTCGGGGCCCTGAAGAAGGAACCCTTTTCGTTGGGGAGGGGCTCCGCGTTCCTGAAGTGTTTCACAGCTTGCCTCAGGTTGTCCTTAGGTTTTCGATGGGAAGTCGAAGGTTAACCTATGGAAAAAAAGGGGGCCTCGTTGTTCCTTAGTTAGGGTTCCTTAGGTCAACGCCCCGACTGTAGGTCACCCGCAGGGGCTTGTGGCATCACGGTGGGTGTCATAGGTCAGATTGGGGCACTGACCTATTCTAAAATATTTTAGAATGGGTCCACATCATCCTCCCGTGCGGTGGTCGCCGAGAGACTGGGGAGCTCTCGCCCCCAGGTCGCGCTGAAAGAGCCCGTTCGTGTTGCGCGTGGGCTAGATCGTGAAGAAAAACAAAAAACGGTGGGTGTTGTAGGTCACCCGCAGGGGCTCTCTTCGCGGCTCGGGTTGGAGAGGCGGTGCTCTCCGGCAGAGAGGGCGGCGCGAGCGTGTCGGGAGGTTTGCGGCGCCCTGCCGCGGCGCGCAGCCTGCGGCCGCGAGCCCGGGGGACCCGGGCGGCGGCCGGCCATGGCCGCAGTCCTCGCCGAGGACGCTGGCGAGCGGGACGGCTGTGGGGTGACTCCGTGGGGAGGGGGGGGGGGGGAGGGGGAGGGGGAGGGGGAGAGGGAGGTGGAATCAGAATAAGAATGCTACTTATCATGATCTTAGGCGTACTGATATTGATCGTACTACGGAGTATAAGAAGATGTCAAACATATTCATACTAGGAATCATGATAGCAGTAATGTAAAGACAACTTATAAGAGAACTGATATTTGTACGAATAAGGCCAGTGCTAGTAAGACTTGGAAGAAGAAGACGGGGCATAGCAATAATACCACTACGAGTCAGACAACGCCTAAGACTATCGAACAGAAGACGAAACCTAGTGCTCATACGGCCAATCGTTAGAAGAAGACGAATAATGTGAGGAGGAGGAGGAGGCAGACTCCAACTCGCCCCATCCCATGCTCTCCGAGCGGTTCCGTGGGCGGGAGGCGCGTGCCTATCCATGGCCTCGCGGGGCCGGGCCTCGAGGGCGGCCGGCTGCCCCGGAGAGCACGCGGCCTCGGACGGCAGGCTCTCGAGGGCGCGCCGCGCCGCCCAGGTGGTGGCCCGCGCCTACGCCGACAGGCTGTCGGAGGCCTCCTCGCCCCTCAAGTTCGCCTTCACGCGGGCGGAGGCGGCCTCAGCCGTGGCGAAGTACGTCCAGGCGCCGGGGGGCCTGCCCCGCGGACTGGCTGCGGGGGCCCGAGAGGCAGAGAGGAGCCGCTCGTCAGGCGTCGAGGGAGCGCCACAGGATCTTTCCAGCATAGCCCGGAAAAGCAATCAAGAACCCCCCCCTCCCCCTCTCCGGCGAAAGTATCACGCACCCGGCACCCCAGAAACGTTACCCTGGCACCTCGCACCTTTATGTGAACGCAGACGAGTCTGCTCGCCGAAACAAGCACACCGCCTCCTCCTCGCCAGATGCTCCAGGAAAGAGGTCGCTAGATGCTCCAGGAATTCCCAACACGTACCGTTTTCGCCCTGGGCACAGCAACGCAGCGTAAGCATTACATTTCGAAGAGGTCCGCGCGGTTTCCTCTTGTCGGCGCTGGTCCTCCCCCTTTGTCGGCGCCTCCCGGCGCCGCCCCTGGCGTCCCTGGCGCGCGCCAGGAGGGAAACGTCTGGCCCTGGTCGAGGAGGTCTGCGCGGACCTTCGAGGGTGTATGCTCGTGCAGTTCTTTCGTCCTCTTGGGGAGGGATGGGCGGGGGAGGGGGGGAGATGGGCCTGCTTTCCACCACCACGACCATAAGTTGGAGGGGGGAAGGAGGGGGAGGAGGAGGAGGAGGAGGAGGAGCAGGAGGAGCAGGAGGAGGAGGAGGAGGAGGAGGAGGAGGAGGAGCAGCAGGAGGAGGACCCCCTCCCCTTCCAACTCATGGTCGTGGTGGTGGTGGTGGGAAACAGGCCTGTCAGGGAGGGGGCGCAGACGAAGGGGAGGTGTCTTCGGCCGTGCCCCGTCGGGGCTGCGGGCAGCTTCCCACGGGCCGCCCCTCGACGGCTTCGCAGAGAGGGCCGTACACACCCTCTGAGCACTCGGCACCGTCTCGTCCGCTTTTGCACCCCCCCCCCGAGGGTTTTATCCGCAGGCCTACAGGTTGACACCAGCAACAAGATCGGCGGTGTGCCTCCACCGAGGGACGAAGATCCCGATCTCGGTGATGGTGGTAATATGATGCTTCCAAGGTGACCGAAATATTACCACCAACGCCGAAATCTAGGGCGATTTCCCCGCTCTGGAGGCACCCCCTTGTGTTGGCGTTGGTGCCCATTTCCAGGCCTCCAATGTATTGTCATGTGAGCGACGCAGAAGTACGCGGGTCCCACTGCGCGGACATGCGCGCGTGAGCTGCCCGCGTAGGGTCGCGCGTGAGCGCCCTCGTTGCCAATGTCGCGTGCCGGGCTGGCTGCCCGCGTGGGCCACCGCGTGAGGTCGCTACACCATCTCGCGCACGACCCGTTTCTTTTCGTTGTTCGTGTGCGTTTTGGAGCGAGAGTGTTCTGCGAGCAAGCGTTGGGGAAGGAGGGAGGGGGATTAAAGCAGGTGTTTTGGATGCCCCCGGGTTTGTACAGTGTTTGATCACCGCACTGCCGCATTTGAGCGCCCTCTCCACGGCGCACGCACACGTACAGTCTTCGAGTTTCGGAGCTAAGAAAAGATGAGGGTTTCCTGAAATCGGCCAGGCTGCCTCCACGTGACACTCGCGGACAGGCCTCATGTTGTGTCATCCGCTCTGTGGTCAACCATTGGTCATCCACTCCACGAAGGATAGATAGCTTAGGAACGAACAGATGCACCAATTATCGATCATGCTACATTGAGCTGTTTTGGTCTGGGGTCATCTGATTCTTACTTCTTCTTTTACAACTCACTGATTCCAGCTTTCGCTCAGGACTTGGGATTCGCTTTATTGCGGTCTGCTGTCGGCCTTCACGAGCTCCGATTCAATCCTGGCGACTTTTCGTAGATGGTTTCCCTCTCTTTTGCTTGCGCGTGCTATCCCTCGAGCGAGCCAAACAACGTGCGTAAAGAGAGAGAGAGAGAGAGAGAGAGTGAGAGAGAGAGAGAGAGAGACGGCCCGCCAGTTCAGAGCTCGCTTGCCACGTAGTCGAAAGTGACACCGCTGCGATGCCGAAGTCCTCGGCCCGATCTATTTCGGTGGCAAGTCACGGGAGCCTGGTATACCCTCTCAATTCCGTCTTTAGCGTCGACTGGCGTCGATTAGCGTCTGGAGTCGTTGAGATGGCGCCGGCTCAGCGTCGTTTCGCGTCGATTCAGCGTCGACTCAGCATCGATCTAGCGTCGATCGAGCGTCGATTTAGCGTCGATTTAGCGTCGACTTGCAAGAGCCGACAAAATGGTACGGGAGGCTCCCACGAGTTGCCACCGACTTCTATCGTCGTCGGAACGGCTTCCCGCCCCCATCTCCAAGCCAGCGAGGAGAGCGGCCTCGGTCGCCCGCCCGCTCTCTCGGGGCATCTCGCCCGGACGTGCGCGGTCTTTGCTTCTCTCGACGGGGACCCTCGAGGAGCCTCTTGGACCATCGAGGACCATCCTCTTGGACCATCGAGGACCATCCTGGACCATCGAGGAGCCTCTTAGACCGTCGGGGGGCATCTTGGACCATCTTGCGAACAAGAGGGTGCACGCACGGAATCGACGGCACCCGCACGGGGAACGTCGACGTCCGAGCGGCGGCGAGTTTTTTTTTTGTTTCGTTGCGCGGCTCACCCTGGCGAGGGCGCTGGTCCCCCGCGGCCGTCGTGGCCGCCAGGTGGTGGGCGCCAGGAACGCCACCAAGGTCGACTGGGTGGCCCAGGCGCGGCAGCGGGGGACGGATGCGTAGGGGCGGAAAAGCGTCGGGCGCTGGGGCGGGGCCTGGCCTGGCCTGTGTCCTGTACCTCGGCCCGGCAGAGGAAGACGGGGCACCCCCACGGGGGTCTCGGTGGCAAGTCATGGGAGCCTGGTATACCCTCTGAACTCATTCTTCGGCGTCGATCAGCGTCGATCAGCGTCTGGGAGTCGATATGAGTCAGCGCCGATTCATCGCCGGTCAGCGTCGACTGGCGTCGACTCAGCGTCGGTGAGCGTCGATCTGGCGTCGACTCGCGAGAGCCGACAAGATGGCAGGAGAGGCTCCCATATGAGGAGGAGGAGGAGGAGGAGGAGGAGAGGAGGAGGAGGGGGAGGAGGAAGAGGAGGGGAGGAGGAGGAGGAGGAGGAGGAGGAGGAGGAGAGGAGGAGGAGGAGGAGGAGGAGGAGTTGCCATCGAAGGGGGCCAGGACTGGAGGTCGCAAGGGGAGGGCGGCTCGTCCTGCGCCACCCGCCGGCGGCGTGGAGGGCCGCCGCGCTCCCTCCTCGCGCGCCGCGGTCTGGGGCGCGGAGCTTCCCACGCCAGTGGTGACTGGGAACTCCTCCTCCTCCCTCCTCCCTCCTCCATCATCCCTCCCTCTTCTCCCCCTCTCCCTCCTCCTCCCTCCTCCCTCCTCCCTCCTCCCTCCGCCTCCTCCTCCTCCTCCTCCTCCTCCTCCTCCTCCCTCCTCCCTCCTCCTCCTCCCTCCTCCTCCTCCTCCTCCTCCTCCTCCTCGGCCCCACTGGCCCTTTCTGCAGGGTGGCCGCGCGCGAGGGCGCAGAGAGAAGCGCCCATCACACTTCGCATGGCGCGAGGCGAGACGCCAGACGACCCAGAGGCTCACGTGTGAGGGCCTCGGAGGAAGGACTGTGAGACATCGCCCCCTCAGCCTCGTCCAGTTGTGCGTTCGGACCAGAACTTCGAGGCGGATATCGAGCCGTGGCCACCAGGGCGCCCCAGGAGTCAAACCCCGAGCCTCGATCCTCGATCGTCGGCTTTCCCTCCCTGGGAGGAGGCCCAGCAGGCCCTGACTGCTTCAGGCCCACCCTCGCTTCCTGGTCGGCCACTGCCCGTGGGTCAGGGCGCAGGCTGGCTGGCGGTGGCACGCATGAGGGGGAAGGGAAGGAGGAAGGTATAATCATCGGGAACGGAAGAAACCCTAACCCTAAGAACACAATGGAGACGTGGCCTCACTTAGGTTCCCGTCTTTGCATTCGGGATCGTCGATCTTGGTGGTTTGGTTTGGTACATCTGCAGGAAAGACCTCCTATCCCGAATGTCTTAGGCCCTCCTAACTCAGGCCCCTTCCCAGAGGGTTCGGGGTACGTTTCTGGCTCGACGTAGGATTCGGGGAAAGTGCTCGAAGAACACGCGGCGTGAACATCTATTTTCCGAGGTCCGCGCGGGTCTCTTGGGTTGGCGCTGGCCCCCCCTGGCGGCGCCTCCGACGCCGCCTGGGGCGCGCTTCGCGAGCCAGGGCAGGGGTCTCCAGCGCCGACCCAAGAACTCAGCGCGAACCCTCGAAGGCCATGCAGCCTTGCTGCTCCTCAGAGCGGCCCGCTCGAGGAGCAGCCCGTGGGCGATGTGCGGCTCTTCGGTGGCCTTGGCCTCCAGGCTGACCCTTGGAGGCCTCTGGCCCCTCCGCTTTGGGGGCGTCCGGTGGCACCTCGGGGCGGTCTCGGGGCCCCTGGGGGCCTCCAGGAGAGCCGCGTCGCGTGCTCTCGTGGCGCGCGCCGAGCGCGCCCGCGTGGCTCGCGCCGCGCCGCGTCGCTGGCGGGGCCGCAAGGCCCCACCGGGCAGTGCAGCCATCGGCGCCTCGCCCCGCGGCCAGGCGCTCGTGAACGGGACCCTGACCACGAACTTCACGGCGGAGCTCATCATCGAGCTCGCCATGCAAGACGTCCGCAGAAGGTTTGAATGCGCTCACCACCGTGCCTGGCCAGGGCCATCCTGGGCCCCCAGGCCAGTGCATAGACCCGCCTGGTCTCAGCGCTGGCAGGGAGTGTGCACCATGCGGCGGCTGAGGATGGCCTTGTCGAGGCAGCCCGGTGGTGGGGCAAACGTATACACCCTGCACAGGACGACAACCCCGACCGGCTTGCGATGTCGGGGGTCGGCGAGGCCTTGGTGAGGCCCCGCGCTCGTCAGGGCTGCCGCGTCCTGCCTTGAGAGATTCTTCTTGGACTTGGATTGAGCTGTTCGGCGGTTGTTCGGCGGTTTTCTGGTTCGGTCTTCTTCAGGTAAAGCGCGCTGGTAAGGGGTACTGATCGAAGGAGGAGGAGGAGGAGGAGGGAGGAGGAGGAGGAGGAGGAGGAGGAGGAGGAGGAGGAGGAGGGAGGAGGAGGAGGAACGGGGGAGGAGGAGGAGGAGAGGAGGAGGAGGAGGAGGAGGAGGAGGAGGAGGAGGAGGAGGAGGAGGAGGAGGAGGAGGAGGAGAGGAGAGGAGGAGGAGGAGGAGGAGGAGGAGAGGAGGAGGAGGAGGAGGGAGGAGGAGGAGGAGGAGGAGGAGGAGGAGGAGGAGGAGGAAGGAGGAGGAGGAGGAGGAGGAGGGAGGAGGAGGAGGAGGAGGAGGAGGAGGAGGAGGAGGATGAGGAGGAGGGGGAGGAGGAGGAGGAGGAGGAAGAGGAGGAGGAGGAGGAGGAGAAGGACCAATGTAATCCCAAGAGTCATCAACGATGTTGGACTGCACCCTCCCTCCAAGCTCCCTCTTCACAGGCCCCTACAACGGTTCATTTCCATTGAGGGAACTGCCTCGTTTGAAGACAACCGTTTGAAGACCCTGAAGCATGCCAAAACATTGTTCTCGGGATTCCAACGCCACAGATCAACCTGATGGTTGCGTCTTGACGATCCTGAATCGTGCCAGAAGGCCATTCCTGCGACTTCAACATCGCGAATCAACGTAACTGTTGCACCAGCGTGATCCCGAATCCTTCCAAAACACCATTTCAGGTACGTACGTTGATCATGGGAAGCCGTGAAAGTCTTTCAACATTTAATAGACGAATGTGCGCGGTGCTAAGGCGAGAATCACAGTTTGAAGAGGAGCCGCTCTCAATCAATCCGTGAAATTCTCGCGAACTTTTAAAACGAATGTGCGCGGGGCGAAGGCGAGAGCCACATTTTGAAAACCACTCGCCCTCAATCCGTGAAGCTCCTGCATTTGTTGGTCGGAACACGCGTGTGTAGTTAACAAAGCAGGCGGCTGAGCGTTTGGGGGGCTGGGCGGGGGGGTGTGAGAGTGCACCGCGCGCGGGATCCGTGGCCATTGTGGCTCTAGGCATCCCCGCTCGGTCTCGAAAGCGAGCGTGAGTCAAAGGGGGTACATCCGGCTTAGTTTGCTCTTGAACCCAAGCCGACTCACTTGTCATGGAGCCTAGCCCGCAGGAGCTTGCCGGCTTCAAGGTGCTCCGGGACGTTGCGGAGTGGGCGGGCCTCGACGGTGACGACATCGACGCGAAGCTGCCCCGGGGCAGTCTGTTCGAGCTGTTGGGCGTATCTGGGGATCACCCCATTGTCCGCGTTGCTCGTATCTCCCAGGCCTCCTTCGACGATCTTGTGAAAGATTGGTGTATCAGCAGTGATGAGCGGAGTGCCCCTGCCAAGCCGGCAGTGCGGGCGGCTGCGACCGCCTTTGGGGCCGCCTGCCGGATCGCCGCGGGCGTGCAGCAGCCTCAGGTTGAAGCCCGCTCGCAGGCCGACGGCAACGTGAAGGCGATCAATCGCGCCTGCGACAGCATTGCGGCGCTTCTCCCAACACTGGAGGCGCACGCCAAGAACATCACAGAGGAACGGGAGGCTGGCTCAACGAAATCAGTCCTCAAAGAGGTCATCGACCCCCGGCTGGAGGGCACGAGCCCCCTCTTGGACAGCGCCCAGGTCTTGGCGTGCACCGCGAACTACAAGATCGTCTACAAGGTCAAGCCCCCGCCGCTGGAGGAGCTCACTCAAGAGCAGTTGGCTGCCTTGGATTCTGTCCTGCGGAGCGGGCGGGTCCCCTATGCAGATTTCGCTGTGTGGGGGCCACAAGGCAACCGTATCCTCAAGCAGGTGAAGCTCGTGGGGAAGACCTTCAACCCGGACGGCACGTGGTCCATGGTGGAGCTGTTCGGCCCTGAGTCCTTTGAATCGTGGGACAGGTCGTACGGCCTGCTCCGCTCGGGCCTCGTCCAGTTCGGGGCGGTTGATCTCGGCATTCGTCTGAATTGCCGCACTAACTTCTATCGTCGCTACCAGCAGCGGGGCCCGGAGGTGTGGCACATTGCCTACCAGGCAGAATGCCGTTGCCGCCTCGAGCTAATGGAGAGGCTCCACCGGCAGGTGAGGGACGACTACGAAGACGCCAAGCGGCGTGGCAAGGACCACCCGTACGATCCCGATCGTCCTTGGAACTTGGTCTGGCAGATGGCAGCTGACGACGCGGAGTTCTGGAAGTACGAGTTCGAAGACCCGTCGCTGCTGGTTCTGGCCAAGACGGCGTCCCTGGCCAGCATGCTGGGCACCGATGCCAGAGCAGCCGGGGGCGTCGGGAACGTGTCGGGCCCTGCCCAGGAGCCAGCCCCGAAGCGAGGGCCTCCCAGCAGCGCCGGTGCGCCGCCACCTCCGCCCAAGAAGCCGCGTGGCAACGCGCAGGGCGAGCTGGTCCACCAGGTCCAGGACGGCAAGTTCGTGGCCAATCGCAGCGGTGTCAAACTCTGCCAGGCATTCCAGACAGGACAGTGCGGGCAGACTCGCCGGAACAACATGTGCCCCAAGGGCACGGGCGTGGTCCACCAGTGCGAGCACTGCCTGGGCACCGGCCACGGGTCGGCCCACCCTGAGCAGTGCACCAAGTCACCGCAGACCCCCAAGTCGACCAAGGGAGGTACGAAGGGGAAGGGCGGCAACCGCCGGTGAGCTGTCGGCGCCCCCGGGGCGCTGAGCCCGGCATCGCCACTCGGGTGCGGCCCCCGGGCAGTGATGAATGCATGTCTTGGATGCGTGATTCCATCGGTCGCGCTGTCTGCAGCACCGGCCGCGGTTGATAATTCTGGACAGGCATCGTTGCTCAGCCAGGAGGCGAGGGCCTCTACGGCGCCAGCGCTGGCAGATCCGCCGTACGGCGGTGGCTGCCAGAAGCTCAGCATCCTTGTCGTTCTCGCCGAGCTGGAGGCGCTCTGGGGCCTCTCTGGCATTGCCGAGCACTTCTGCAAGCTGGGCGCGCAGACGGCGGTCTACGACGCCGGCGGCAGCGAGACGCGCGAGCTCCTGGCGCAGAACGCGTGGCGCGAGCTTGACGCCAGGATTGGCGCGCTAGACTTCCACGGGTGCGCGCTGGTCCCCCCGTCAGCCACTTTTGCTCCTCGCGGCGACGGCGGCCCTCCTGTCCGCGGCGATGTGGCTCCGGACATCTACGGCTTCCGCTGTCTCCCGCCGGAGGTGGCCGAGCGTGTCCGCGTCGAGACTGCGCTGTCTCTCCGGGCGGCTGCCGTGGCACGGAGATTCCTGGAGCTAGGCCTACCTGGGTGGGCATTAGCCGGCGCCCGGGTTCCCGGTCACCCATCTGTCCTCAAGCTCCCAGAGTGGCAAGCGTTTGCAGACTCGCCGGGCTTCGTTGCCTCGCCCGGCGTCTGGCGTGCCGTCGGCGCCGTCGCTGAGCGCCCGGTCGAGATCGTGCATTGGTGCGCTGATTTCACCGGCGCCTTGGAGGCAGCCGCTGGACCGGCAGCTGCGTGCGCCCCCCTCGCGGGGCGGCTCGTGCAAGCCGCCGGGAGGAACAGGCTGTCGGCGCCCGAGGCGGAGGCCGCGATGGTGCGATCTGGCCGCTTCCGCCACAAGTTGATCAGGCCAGCCAGCGGCGAAGCTGAAGGGGCAGATCCGTCCGATGCCCAGGTGTCCTTCGCGCTGCCTCTTCGCCGGCGCGTGCCCGACGCCAGAGCCGCCCGTTTGGCGCATCGAGGCCAAGTCGGTCGGCGGCATGCGCGGGCCATTGCGCTCCTTGTGCAAAGCCCCTGGCTTCGAGAAGGTATCGGCCGAAGTGCGGGCGTTCCTGATCGACGTGTTGATCAAGGACGCCTCCGTCCATGACAAGTTGTGGGCTGCCCTCGCAGGCGCGGACGACAACGCCGCGCCCACGGAGGCAGAGCTGGACGTCCACCGCCCCGCATTCGCCGCGCTCCTGGGCGCGTCGTCGTGGAGCCCTGCCCGGACAGAAGCGCACTCGAGCGATGTCCGCGCAGACATGCTCAGGGCATGGGTTGCTCGCGCGGGCGACCCGGGCGCCGGCGTCGCAGAATGTTTTTTTCACGGGAGCTCCGGCTGGCATCGTGAAAACGCCGCCAGAAGACGGCGTGTTCCCCCCGGCCTCGGACAACGAGCCGCCCTGTCCGATTGGCAATTTGGCCTTCGATGCTCTCGGCGATGCCTCGGACGGCGAGTCCGCGCATCTGGGCGAGGAAGCTGTTGAGGAGATCAAATCTTACGCTTCCCTTGGGTGGCTGGCGTCGGCGGCATCTTTTGAGGAGTGCTGCGAGAGGCTCGGCGGCGCCCCGGTGCTGTCCAAGTTTGTCCTCCTCACCAAGGTGAAGGAGGGGGAGACCAAGAGGCGCCTTGTCATCAACCTGAAGGCTTCCAGCGTCACTGCCGCCACGGCAAAGACTCACAGGGTGCCTCTGCCTGGCGTCATGGACGCTGTCCAGGACGTTCTGGAGCTGCTTTCCCGCAACGAGGGGGGCGACCAGTTCGGCGTCGAATGGCTTGTCGTTGACTTCAACGACGCTTTCTGGAACGTGCCGCTCGCTGTCGAGGAGCGCCGCTTCTTCGTCGCCAAGGTTCGCGGCGTGTACTACTGGTACTGCCGGGCGGCGCAGGGGAGCCGAAACGGCCCCTACGTATGGGCGTCGGTCGCTGCGTTGCTGGCAAGGCTGTCGCAAGCCTTATTCGCGGACCCTTTTGCCCCGAAGTCTTTCGGGGAACTCCGGGCCGCCCTCCGGTTGCAGACGTACGTCGACGACCCCGTCCTGACCGCGGCAGGATCTCCAGTGAAGCGTCGCCTGATGCTGTGCGCAACCGTGCTAGCCTGGGGGCTGCTTGGTTTCGGCGTTGCTTTCCGGAAGGCGAGGCTTGGTACAGCGATCGTTTGGGTTGGCGTAAAGTTGCCCCTCGACCCGGCCGGGGTCACGGTGGAGATCACAAGCGAGAAGGTTGCTGACTTCACTTGCCTCCTTGAGGGTTTTCTTGCGTCCAATATTGTATCGCTCAAGCGCCTCCGTGAATTTTTAGGCAAGGCTGAAAGCGTAGCAATGGTTCTCTTGGTATGGAGGCCTTTCCTCCGTGACCTGTGGAACGCAATGCTCGCTGCCAGCGCCGATTCTTCATCGCGCGCGCCTCCCGGCTGCGTGTGGACGCAGCAAGTGCGAGCGCAACTGGAGTGGTTCCTCCTCTTCCTCCAGCAAGAGAGGGGATCCATTGTTCGCCGGTTTTTGGTTGAGGCCTACACGCGCCGCGGGCCAGCCGTGCGCATGGGTTTCGACGCTTCTCCGTGGGGCCTGGGCGGGTGGCTCATGTTAGATGAAGCTTTTGTCGCCTATTTCGCGGCCCCTGTCTCCGGGGAAAACGTCGAGCTGCTGGGCATTGTGGTCGGTTCGGCCGAGTCGCAGCAGATTTTGGAGGACCTGGCAATACTTGCAGGCATGCGCGTTTGGAAACAGCACTGGTGTCAAGTGCGTTCCAGCTGCGCTGTCGAGAGCGACAATATTGCTGCCCTCACCATGCTGTCGAAACTCAGGGCGCCGAGCCCAGCATTAAATCATCTCGCCAAGGAGCTTGCGCTCGACTTGGGGGATACTGCTTTCCTCCCCGAGGAACTCTCGCACGTTCCGGGGGTCGCCAATATGTTGGCCGACAGGCTAAGCAGGAGGTATCAACCAGGATCCTCGTGGAGCGTGCCGATTTGCCTCGACGGAGTGGTTGAAACGCCACTGCCGGTCCGTGCAAAATCCTGGTACCGCACCCCGGCCAGGCAGTAACAGTTTTTTTTTGTTTTGTTTTGCTTGCATCGGTGAAAAAACACATGTGACCAAGTTACTGCCACAGCCGGCAGCGGCCGTTTAGGTCGCCACGATGTTGTGCGAACATACCGTCGCATCGCATTTGAATCGACCTTTAATCATTTAAAGTGCTTCCCCGCCGATGGCGACTGCAGAGTCCGCCACGGCGCTCTTGTGAGCAAATACCGCACTGACCGATGGAGAAAAAGGATTGCATCTTGTCTCTCGTCGTGCTTCTCTCTCTCTCTCTCTCTTTGTTGCCCTCCCTCCCTCCCTTTGTCCTCCTCTTCCTGCGGCCCCCATGGTCGCTTTGGCATGTTGGGGACGTTGGGACTTGGGGGCTCCTCGGAGGTGCTTCGGCGTGCTCTGCAGGTACCGCGGTCCTGCGTGACATCCGCCCTTTGGCATGCACCGTATCTCCTGGTCATGCGGACTGCGGTGTTGACACTTCGTTTATTACGTTGTATGCTTGAAGTGATCCAGCCGTGCTGCTGTCACCGTTTCGCCAGGCGTGCGGGGGTAGGGAGATCATTGTGCAGGTACCGCGGTCCTGCGTCTCCTCCCCCTCCTCCGCGTTGGAATTGTGCTGCTGTCACGGTTTCCGCCAGGCGTGCGGGGGTAGGGAGACCTTTGTTGCAGGTACTGCGGTCCTGCGTCTCCTCCCCCTCTTTCGCATGTATTCCTCTTGGGGGCTTCAAGGTGCAACGTAAGTGTCACGAATTTGGGCGCCTGTTTTGCTGGCATTCGTCATTGCTCATTGCCCTTGGCAGGTACTGCGGTCCCGCATCTCATCCGCCGGGGTTAGGGGGACCTTTGTCGCAGGTACTGCGGTCCTGCGTCCCCTCCCCCTCCTTTGCATGTTTTCGTCATGGGGGCTTCAAGGTGCAACGAAATTGTCACGAATTTCGGCGCCTGTTGCGCATGCATTCGTCATTGCTCATTGCCCTCGGCAGGTACTGCGGTCCTGCATCTCGTCCGCCATACCGCTGGCAGGCACTGCGGTCCTGCGACGTTCGATGGCATTTTGGCCCACGCTGCACGTACCTGCCGAGCCGCGGCCATCGGCTAGCATGCCGCGCGGCCGCCCTCTGGTCCGGGCTGGCACTCCAGCGTTGTGTTCGCGACTGGAGGTGGACGATTTGGTCTCGGCCCTGGAGGCGGCTGGCTGGGCTTCCACTCCGGTGCCGCTACATGTGCGCTGCACTGGAGCATCGGCATCGACAGGCAGCCCTGCCGCCGTGGCCTCCTGCCCAACTGTCGCCCCAGCGGCCGACGTAAGAGGACCTCCAGCTGCAGCAGTGCTGGCAGCGGTGGCCTCGTCGTCCTCGAGCGGCACGCGCCCCGTCGATGTAGCTGCTTTGCCACTTTCTGTGCAGGTCCGACGCGGAGATACGAACGTTTCTCGCGGCTGCAAGCGAGGTTCCGTCGCTGTTGCCCTTGCGGCGGCCGCGGAGCCTGCATCTCGCCAAAGAGCGCTCTCAGAGCTCGTAGCTGACGAATTCGCCATGACTTCGATGGCTCCACGAGTGTCACTGTGGCGCACGTGGGTGCGACTTCACGAGGTTTGGTTTGAATCGGAGGCCCTCGCTGCTGAAGGCACGTGTGTCCCAGTTCTCCCGCTGAGCCCTGTAAAGATTTCGGCTGTCATGTCTTTGCTGAAGCACGGTAAGTACAGGTCTGCCGCCAATTACGCGAGCAGGGCGAAAGACGAACACGTCGCGTCCGGTTATCCGTGGACCGACTGGCTCGAAAGAGCTAAGAGGCGGGCCACTGCGTCCGCAACCCGGGGCATGGGCCCTGGTAGGCAAAGTGCGGCCCTCGGTCTCACGAAAGTGGCGGGCTTGAAGCTCTCAGCCTGGGAGCCTTTGGCAACTGGTGGGCCCGTGAATTCGCATGCCATGATCGTCGCAGGCTCTTTCTTTCTGACCAGGGAGATCGAGGCAGGCAATGCCCTGCTAACAGATTGCTCGTTTGATGCTCGTGACCGTTGCGTGTCGTGGAGCCTGCCTGCGTCAAAGACGGATGTAAAGGCCCTTGGGAAGGTACGGTCCTGGGGCTGCATCTGTATAGTACCGGTTAGCAATCCGTTATGTCCATACTGCGTGCTCTCCGCTCATCGGTCCCTCCTCGTATCGCATTTTGGCAGCGATGGCACGTGTGCTCCCACGATGCCGCTCTTTCCGGGCATCGGCGGACTGCATGTTTCCAAAGCGTCCGTCGTTGCTACGATCGAGGCCGTCGCTGAGCTCACGGGTGAACGGCTTGTTACCGAATGTGGCTCGCGTCGCTTCGGGGGGCATACGCTTCGTGAGACAGGCGCCAGGCACCTGGCCAGTACTGGGGTGGATCTTCTGACCCTCCAAATTTTGGCCAGGTGGGAGTCCGACATCATCTTGCGATATGTCGCGGAGGCTCCCCTTGAGCGCCTGACGGCCTCATACAAAGCGCAGCTTGCGCGCAGCGACTTGGCTTCAGAGCTTTCGAAGCTACAGAAAGATGTGTCGGCACTGCGCTCAGTTGCGCAGTCCTCTCCATCATGGGCGCGCGCGGCGCTCGAGGACGAAGTGCAGCTGGCCGACGCTGAGCACGGTAAAGATAGCACACACCAAATGCGCTTCATTAGAAACGAGGTTTCTGGCGTCGTCCACCGCTCCTGGTTCCAGCCTGGCTGGCAACCAGTGTGTTGGCGCACGGTTTGCGGCTGGAGATTTGGCTTGTGCTACGAATTTACTAAACTTTCGGACATGCCGAAAAGTCGTGCTCTCCTGTGCAGCAAATGTTTCCCGAAGGAAAACATTACTGGTGGGACCAAGGGCCGAGCTGACTCCAGCGGCTCGGAGGTGTCCCAGGACGGGCAGGGGGGAAGGTAGCACGTGCTCCTTCGGGACCCCTCCCAAAAGCGAACGAACCTTCAGCAGCGTTCCTGTGAAAAAAAAGAACAGGCCGGGGGGCATCATTCGTCTGTCGTCATTGGTGTTGCGCTTCCGCGCCATTCCGTCGCGGGGACTGCGGCCCTGCGTGGCTTGTCCCCCCCGGGAGTCCCACGGTACTTCGGTGCGTGGGCGGGTTGCTCGCTCCGAGCCGGCTTGTTGGTCGGAACACGCGTGTGTAGTTAACAAAGCAGGCGGCTGAGCGTTTGGGGGGCTGGGCGGGGGTGTGTGAGAGTGCACCGCGCGCGGGATCCGTGGCCATTGTGGCTCTAGGCATCCCCGCTCGGTCTCGAAAGCCCCACCCGCCCAATTCCCAACGCTTTCAGGCAGGGGCAGGGGGGAAGGTAGCACGTGCTCCTTCGGGACCCCTCCGAAAAGCGAACGAACCTTCAGCAGCGTTCCTGTGAAAAAAAAGAACAGGCCGGGGGGCATCATTCGTCTGTCGTCATTGGTGTTGCGCTTCCGCGCCATTCCGTCGCGGGGACTGCGGCCCTGCGTGGCTTGTCCCCCCCGGGAGTCCCACGGTACTTCGGTGCGTGGGCGGGTTGCTCGCTCCGAGCCGGCTTGTTGGTCGGAACACGCGTGTGTAGTTAACAAAGCAGGCGGCTGAGCGTTTGGGGGGCTGGGCGGGGGTGTGTGAGAGTGCACCGCGCGCGGGATCCGTGGCCATTGTGGCTCTAGGCATCCCCGCTCGGTCTCGAAAGCCCCACCCGCCCAATTCCCAACGCTTTCAGGCAGGGGCAGGGGGGAAGGTAGCACGTGCTCCTTCGGGACCCCTCCGAAAAGCGAACGAACCTTCAGCAGCGTTCCTGTGAAAAAAAAGAACAGGCCGGGGGGCATCATTCGTCTGTCGTCATTGGTGTTGCGCTTCCGCGCCATTCCGTCGCGGGGACTGCGGCCCTGCGTGGCTTGTCCCCCCCGGGAGTCCCACGGTACTTCGGTGCGTGGGCGGGTTGCTCGCTCCGAGCCGGCTTGTTGGTCGGAACACGCGTGTGTAGTTAACAAAGCAGGCGGCTGAGCGTTTGGGGGGCTGGGCGGGGGTGTGTGAGAGTGCACCGCGCGCGGGATCCGTGGCCATTGTGGCTCTAGGCATCCCCGCTCGGTCTCGAAAGCCCCACCCGCCCAATTCCCAACGCTTTCAGGCAGGGGCAGGGGGGAAGGTAGCACGTGCTCCTTCGGGACCCCTCCGAAAAGCGAACGAACCTTCAGCAGCGTTCCTGTGAAAAAAAAGAACAGGCCGGGGGGCATCATTCGTCTGTCGTCATTGGTGTTGCGCTTCCGCGCCATTCCGTCGCGGGGACTGCGGCCCTGCGTGGCTTGTCCCCCCCGGGAGTCCCACGGTACTTCGGTGCGTGGGCGGGTTGCTCGCTCCGAGCCGGCTTGTTGGTCGGAACACGCGTGTGTAGTTAACAAAGCAGGCGGCTGAGCGTTTGGGGGGCTGGGCGGGGGTGTGTGAGAGTGCACCGCGCGCGGGATCCGTGGCCATTGTGGCTCTAGGCATCCCCGCTCGGTCTCGAAAGCCCCACCCGCCCAATTCCCAACGCTTTCAGGCAGGGGCAGGGGGGAAGGTAGCACGTGCTCCTTCGGGACCCCTCCGAAAAGCGAACGAACCTTCAGCAGCGTTCCTGTGAAAAAAAAGAACAGGCCGGGGGGCATCATTCGTCTGTCGTCATTGGTGTTGCGCTTCCGCGCCATTCCGTCGCGGGGACTGCGGCCCTGCGTGGCTTGTCCCCCCCGGGAGTCCCACGGTACTTCGGTGGGTGGGCGGGTTGCTCGCTCCGAGCCGGCTTGTTAAACGAATGTGCGCGGCGCGAAGGCGAGAGCCACATTTTGAAAACGACCCGCCTTCCATTTGTGAGACGATTGTCAACTTTCAGGCTTCAGAACCACAAATGGTATTTTAAGCTTTAGAACCATACGTGGTGAGGAAGTCTTAGGCGAAACGCCCGGCCCGCCCTAAAAACTGGCCTCGGAGTTGGACAGGAAAAGGAATGGAGGAGGAGGGGGAGGTGGAGGAGGACGCGGATGAGGAGACGGATGAGGAGGAGGAGGCGGGGATGAAGGAGATGGAGGAGATGGAGGATATGATGGAGATGGAGGAGGAGGAGGAGGAGATGGAGGAGGAGGAAGAGGAGGAGGAGGAGGAGGAGGAGGAGGAGATTGAAGCCATCGGGTGGTCTTGTGAAATGTCAGGGCACGCTGAGCAAGGGGAACAGTCGACGATGGGGAACGGCAATGTGGACACTTCGTGTTGCCTTGGGGACAGTTCGTTGACGATGACTGCGTCGGCGTGGATCGAGGGTCTCGCCCACCCCCCTCCACGATCCCTGAGCGATTTCTCCAGACTCGGCTGCCGATTTCCGCCTGTCCGCTTCATGTCGATCGCCGATCCGACTTTTCGATTCGATTCTGGGCCCTCCTGCCCCTCCCCCCGAGCACGGTAGGCGTGTGGTGGCCTTCGACCCGCACTTCATGATGCAGGTCGTCGGCATCATGCAGGACCCGGAGTGGTGGCTGTCCGAGGGCCTCGACCCTGCCACGCAGCCTGACATCATCGCGGTGCGCTGTTTTTTTGCCCCGTTACCTCTCCTTCTCCATCCTCCCCATCCCCCTCTTCATCTCCCACTTCATCTCCGTCTGCGTCTCCGCAGTTCCACCTCCAGTTCCCTCTCACTTTTTTTTTTTTTCTGTTGTCTATCTCTCTCTCTCTCTACCTCTACACATTTTATCCACTCAGCCATCGCACCTATGCGTTTATGCATGTATGCATGTAGACAGTAGGCATGTACGCATGCATGCATGCGTGTATGCATGCATGCGTGTATGTATGCATGCATGCATGCATGCATGCATGCATGCATGCATGCATGCATGTATGTATGTATGTATGTATGTATGTATCTATGTATGTATGTATGTATGTATGTATGTATGTATGTATGTATGTATATATGTATGTATGTATGTACGTACGCACGTACGCACGTATGTATGTATGTATGTATGTAGGTATGTTTGTATGTACGCGCGGATGTACGTATGCACAATCGTACGTACGCACATACGTACGCATGCATACGTATGAACGTATGTACGTATGCATGCCTGCATGCATGCATGCATGTATACGGACATATATGCATACATACATATGGATACATGTATGTGTGCACGCATGCATGCATGCATGTATTCGTGCATGCATGCATGCATGTATGTATGTATGTATATATGCAGGCATGCAGGTTGGCATGCATGTCTGCACACATGTATATTTGTATTCATACATTTGTGTATGTATGCATGCATGCCTTCATGTATGCATGAGTGTATGTGCGTATGCATGTATGTATGTATATGTATGCATGTGCGTACATGTCAACTGCAATGTAGTGTAGTGTAGTGTATTGCAAGGCTTTACGGTGCAATGCGCTGTACTGCAGTGACATGTCCCGCAACCAAATTTATTGTGTTGTGTTGTGATGTGAGGTGTTGTACTGTAGTGTAATGTAGTTCAAGGCAATGCAACGTTACGTAGTGCACTTTGACGTGCTGCAGTAAAGTGTAATGTTTTCAATGCGTGCATATCTGTATGCATGAATGCATGCATGCTTACATGTATTTGTGAATGCACGCATGCCTGTATGTGTCTGTCTGTCTGCCTGCCTGTCTGCCTGTCTGTCTGTCTGCCTGCCTGCGTGCCTCTATGTACGTACGTACGTACGCATGTACATGTGTGTGTGTGCATTTGTGTGTTTGTATGTGTGTATGTGTGTATATGCATGCATGCATGTATGTAGAGGCGTGTGTATGCATGTGTACATGCATGTGTGTGTATGTGTATATGTGTGCATGTATGTCTGCATGCATGTACGTATGTATGTATGCATGCATGCATGCATGTATGTATGTATGTATGTCTGTATGTAAGTATTTTCAAATGGCTGCATGCATGTATGCATGCATGTATGTAGATATGCATGTATGCCTGTCTGCCAGCCTGCCTGCCTGTCTGTCTGTCTGCCTGCCTGCCTTCCTGCCTGTCTGTCTGTCTGTCTGTCTGCATGCATGCATGCATGCATGTGTGTATGTATGTATACATGTAATGTGTGTATGTGTGGAGGACGAGTGTTTGGTGGAGGAGAAAGAAGAGGCACTGTATAAACGACCCCAGCGCGTAGCCAAGTGGGCCGTCGGCGGCATCCATGACCATCACCGGACGGGCCGCATCCCCCTGGTGGCGGAGATGCTCGGAGGCAGCCGCGTGGGCGAGTCGCTGGCGCGGGAGCCCGCGTGCGAGTGTGGGGGGCAGCAGTAGGTTCGCGGCTGTCGGAGCGGGGTGGACGGAGGAGGGATGTCCGACGACGATTCTCATCGGCGGTGCGCACATGGCGATGCCGCGGGGGGGGTGCTTCCAAGGAGGCCGAGGACTTCATAGAAGGCCGAGGCAGTCTTAGAAGGCACCAGAGGCTTCTACGGCGGCTTCTGAGAAGCCGGGGGTGGCTTCCAGGAAGGCCCTCGTCTTTCTCAGAAGCTCCTTCGCCCTCGGAAAAGACGGCCGCCTTCCTTCCGTAGCCATTTTGGCTCAAGCCATTTTGGCTCAAGTTGCAATATCGGGAACTCCCCCGTCTCGAGGTGGCGAGGCGGCCGCGCGACCGCGGGTCCACAGGTGCTCGCCCGAGCAGGACCCGCCTCCTTTTCCAGTGCTTTCTGTGAGCTCCTGCTGGAGCCATCCCGATACGATACCTGGCCTTGACACCTTCTTTCTCAGACCGCTGCGATGGGGGGCAAGCGTCGGACTGATAGGAGAAGTGCCACCTCACGAAGTGACTCTCGCAGCTCATCCTCTGCACGCCGCAGTGCCAGCAGAACACCAGATGCCCGCCGTGATGTGGCAGGCCGCTCCCAGGACGTAATGGGTAAGCTCGAGACCATCGCAGGCAACATGACCACACTCAGCCAAATGATGAGCCAGAACAATGCAGACGTGGCTGACCTCAAATCTTCGGTTGCTGGATCTTTCGCTCGGTGTAGTGAACTATCGGACCAGATCGTGATCATGGGCAACAACATCCACCAGCGCCACAAGCAGATCGAGCACGACATGTCCGAGGCCCTCAAATCTCAAAATGCCAACATTGATGCCATGCGTGCTGACCTTCAACAGCAGACTGACAATATGAATGGCAGGCTCTGTCAATATGAAAGCTCCCCGACTCCGACGTGTAGTGAGGGAATGGACTTGGACCCCCTGCCCTCCGCCGTGCAGCAACGGATCAGCGCCATTGAGAACCAGCTCTCCATGATCACGAAGAGCCCCAAACCGCTCAAAACATCATCGGAGACTCGAGTTTCGGCAATGGAAAGTGCACATCGGATCGTGATTGTTGGATTCCCCCGCAAGATGATGCAGTCGACCCTGCGTTCGGCCGCAGGATTATTCCTTCGAGCTGGTGTTCCTCAAGGGCGTCCCCAACCAGTGGTTCGCGCCTTTGACATGACCAAGAAAGTGACCTTGGACTTCGCCGATTCAATGAAAGCTTCTGATTTTCTGTCCAACATCGCAGCTGCTCAGCCGATCCGTTTTCCCGACCCTGTCTTCCCTGGCCAGTTCTTCGAGCTCCGCGCCAAGAGGGGCATGGGGCCTGGCACCCGCCTCCTCTTCCTTGCCATGGGCAAAATTCGAGGACTCCTAGCGTCAGCCATGCGGCCCCTTCAGAAGGAGATGGGCTCGAAAGGCCTTGGTGGTGACATATACGTGCTGCGCGCGCCCGAGGACCCCGTCATCCTGTTTCATGTTTCCATCGACAACAGTGGAGTGAAACCAGTGATCGCACTTCAGTTTGAGCCAGAGCAATTTGCTGAATTTCACGCCACTATCACTCCTCTCCTGGAACAGATCCAGGATGGGGTGGCCCATCTGAATGCTTCGCTTCCCTTTTAAGGAGTCTCGTGGCGAGCCCTGGGCTGTGGGCGCAGCTGATGGGTCACAACGTGATTTGTGCAACCGTGCTGCGAGCTCTATCGGGCAAGCCGTTTCGCCTGTGCCTCTATTGCTTCCCCTTTTTCCCCTCCTCCTCCCTGAAGATCGGTTCTTGGAACACTCATGCTCTCTTTGCCGCGGTTCGCAGTCAGAGTAGCAAAGCCCCCGCTCGTTACGCACGTTTCCTCAAGTACGCAAAGCAGCTCACTGTTCTTTGTGCACAAGAGTGTCATGGTCAAGTTGCTGATATCAATGAGCTGCAATGTGAGCTTCGAGGTTTCGAGATCGGTCACTCGCTCTTCGCTGACTCTACTCGTGAAGGGGGCGTCCTCACTTGCATCCAGCCCTCTCTCTGCAAGTCGTTCTCGTCCATTATCCACACCCCTATTGTCGAAGGGCGCATTCTGAAGTCCTACCTCTCGGGGCCCAATGGTGATCTCTGCATCATAAACGTTCACATGCCCAATACTAGCGACCTCCTCAACATTTATGCCGGAGCCCTGCGTGATATCCTCGTCTCCCTCCCCTCTCCCACGGCATGCGCTACTGTTCTGATTGGTGACTGGAATTTTGCGCTGTCCGCTGACGGTCGTCTGAGAGCCGACGGCAGTGGATGGTCCTCGGGCGATGACTCCCACACGAATCTTTTCTTTCGGCGTAGCGCTCAGTGGACAGAACTTTACCAATCCGAGGACACGAGGCGGGAGGTCAGGGAGGGCACGATTGTTCACACTGCACGTCTTGATCGAGCTTACTGCACGCTGCCACCTGCTCTGCTTGCTGATCTCACTATCAGTGGGGAAACTCTTGGGCGGTGACGGTCGAACATGGTCTCGGACCACATCCCCGTCGTTGTGACCCTCAGCACCTTCAAGCCCCAGGAGGCCCCCAAGAAGCTCCCGAAGTGGCTGGCTCGTCACCCCCTCTTTCAGAGCATCCTGGAACCCGCGATTTCCGCCCTCTTTGACCTGGGCCTGAATCCCTGGGACCGCCTAGGCCGCGTCAAGGACCTGATGTTTGAAGTCGCTGAAGAGGTTCGGTCACAACTCGCAGCCCAGCCGGCGGAGACGACGGAGGCCAAGCATTTCAGGACCCTCCAAGCCCTCCGTGCGTGGCGCGCTCATGACGAGTTACGCGTGCGTCTCGCTGTTCGCGCTTATCCCGCTCTTGCCGCTCATTTTCCATCCCCTGATCTTCACGATGCCCGCGTCCTCGCCCTCTGTCAGCATGCTCAGAACCTGCGCGTCACTTTGCTTGCGGAAGAAGAGCGTGAGCTCGAGGCAGGTGCTGCGAATATCCCTGAGGAGGTCCTTGTCAGCGCCCGCAAAAAGGTCAACGACCGTAAAGAGCTCTGGAGGAAAATGAAGCGTCGCACCTGGCTCCAGGGCACCCTCTCGGAAACGGACACCCCGAGTTCATCAGAGGCCGAAGCAGCTGACTCTCTTCTGCAGCACTGGGGGGAGGTCTTTGCAGCCCCCGAGGTGGACACCTCGCTTTGGTCTGGGCTCTCGCGTTTCATCCAGCCGCTTTCTGCCCCTGCCAACGCCACTTTTAACGAGCTTCAGGAGGAGGGGTGGATTCTGGGAGAGGTTGAGTGGGATGATTTGGTACGCCGTAAGATGGACAGCATGCCTGGGGAGGATGGCATTCCCTACTCTGCCTGGAAGGTACCCGCTGCCAAGAACGCCCTGTACGACTGCTCGCCCGACCTCCCACCTCCCCGTCGACATGAAACATGCCATCATGATTTTCCTCCCTAAGAAAGTCACTGAGCAGGAGGTCGGGGAGGGTGTCTTTAGGAAGCCGCAGGTCACGCGTCCGCTTAGCATGACGAACGCCGATTGCAAGCTTCTCTCTTCTTCTATGACTTGGACTTTATCCAAGAAGGTTGCGTTATCGAACCTGTTACGGTCCCCGCAAAAATGTTTCAGGGGACGGGGCATGATTGTGAATGTTATCGAAGCTGAGTTGTTCATCCTTCAGAAGCACATTACCGATCGGTACACGTCTGGTCTGGTCCTAACGGACTTTGAGTCTGCCTTCCCCTCGATCTTTGTCCCCTGGGTCCTCCACGTCCTGGAGAAAGTGAGGGTCCCTGGTGCCGTGGTCCACTTCTTCAAGGAACTCTATGACAATAACGCTGCCACGATTTCGCTGCTCGGTCGGCCATGGGGCAGCTTTGCCATAGAACGAGGCGTTCGACAGGGGGACCCCAGCTCTATGCTTTTGTTCACTCTTGCGGTGGAGCCTGTACTTGCGTGGCTGGCCTGGCGCCTGCCCGACCACATTGAACTCTCCCTCGCATATGCTGATGATTTCTGCTTTGGCCTGCGGTGTCTGTTTGATGGGATTGGCCCCCCTATTTGAGTGCTTACGGAGCTTACAGCCTGCAATTGGCCTTGCCCTCAACCTCCCCAAGTGTCAGGTCCTCCTCGCCTACCCCAACCTCAAGGGGCCCCTCCAGGACCTCCTCTCAGACCTAGGCCACCAGCTGGAGCTCCTAGAGATCGCGGTCTGTGCGAAATACCTAGGTGTCTGGATTGGGCTGGGGGCGGAAAAGGTTACCTGGGAGGAACACATCATCAAGCTTCGGAAGAGGACGAGGGAGATCAGGGACCTTGGTTTGGGACTTGCCCAATCGATTGTGTTGTTTAAAGCTTACTGTGTCTCGCTGCTGTACTTCATGTCGCAGGTGCACGCGCGCTCTAACCCGCTCATCAAGACATACCAGGCCTGCGTGCGTTTGTTGGCTGCAGGCCCGAATAATGCCCTATCATATGACATGTGTTGCAACCTCACCCAGCTCGGCCTCCCCATTGAGTTTCCTCACATCACACTTGTCGCCGCCTCCTCCAGAGCCCGTTACATCGCCAGATGCGACGAATTCCCGAGGCTGCGCCAGTTCTATGACAGTGCATTCGCTGATGACGATTGGTGCGTTGAGAGACAGATCACCGGTTGGAGCGCCACCTCGTTTGCCGCCAAGCTCTTCTCGTTTAAGGACTGGGTCGACCAGCAACAATTGGAGATCCTTTTTGAGCGCAAGGATATTCAGAAGCAGTACCAAGAAACGTTTAAGCAGTATTTCATTCCCGCCGACCCCCCTATCCTGGCGCTCCTCAGAAGGGTGAACAACTGGATCCCTGGCACCTCCCTGGACTCCCTCACCTTCGTCCTTCATCGTCTCAAGCCTCTTGCGACCAGGTGCAGCATGTACATCCCTCTGTCCGTGATTCGTATCCTATCCCGTTGTGTCTGCACGAGCTCTCGTTTCCATTCCCTTCCTCGCGGTTGTCTCTTGG